GACTGGCTTTCATGGTACTGGAAAATAATATACAAGCTGCTAAGGGAGGAAAGTGCCAGTCGTCTTACCAGCTGTGATGCCATGGACCACCATGGCAATCATGGACAAGACCGTGCACTAAAGGTATACTATTGGTAGTTAAACCACGGTTGTCACAAACAGCTGTCTAAATGGACTTACAGCTCACTCAGCAGGAGGGAAATCCTACTTAGTCCTGTAAACCTAGCTTACTATCTGTGGCTAGTGCCTAGTGAGATCATGGATCTTAGAGAGACATCCACTACTGCCGCTTTCCCAAATCAGCACAATTTTAATTGCATTTTAAATACTTGTCCTTATGTTCACAGGAAAGCATATCAAACAAGCTTCATATTGGAACAGATGGAGCTCATTACAGAAATCTATGATTGACCAAAATGCAGAGACCCACTGATGTGAGGTATTTAGTCCCAGTTGGTACATACACACTGCAACCCCTACACCTACGGCTCAGGGAACCTAGTGGAAGAGAGGGCAGAGAGCTTGTACAATGGCCAGATGACTAGTCAGTCTGCTGTGAGATTACGTCTTACGACAAAGAAGCTACACACACGTTAAAAAAGGTAAGTTTTAAGGTTTAGATACTGACAGTATTTGTTCAGTTTCTACAAATCTTATTTATGAAATTTATCTGTGTCACAGAAGAGATACTGAGTAGGGGTGATGATTAAAAATTCACTTAATTATCACGAGTTTATTCCATTGCCAAAGGCAGAAAACTATGTGACATTATGCTTCTGGGTAGTCAGAGTTAGGATTTCCTCACTAGGGTGTAATGCATTGTATTTTTAAACCAAAAGCACAGGTAGTACCACACACACACAATTCTCTTTCTTCACACCCACCTGAACTCTTGACCAAGCATCCCACAGGTAATATGTATCAGGAAAAATGTCCCCAAGGACCCAAATAGCATTAGATTTATGAATCTGGAGCCAGTCAGCCAGCCAGCAACTGGCAGTGGAAGTGGGTTGCAATCTTGTACTTAGTTGTGCTACAACTCCTTCATAATAAAATAGCAAATTGAAGTGATTTTCAGACAGTGTGGGAGACCGAAGGGAAATGTTTCTGCCTCCAGTAAGCACAGAAGGCTATTAATGAGCCATGTCTGGCTCCCCCACCACGTAGTACATTCAGCGACTGCCTGCTTTCTGTGCTCACGGAAGCTGCGATTATCAAATTCTAAAGCAGTGGTTGGAAAAATGACTGAGCTTTTCAGAATTTATGGGATATATATATATATATATATGTGTGTGTGTGTGTGTGTGTGTGTGTATTCTTATATATTTTATTTGTGCCTGGCAAGGAGAATTGAGTGCCCTCTGTTGACGCGGGTTTATACGGCACACTTTGAGCTCCTGGAGAAGGGTTATGATACCAAAGAGGAAACAGTATGTTATGGAAGGGAAAGATGTTAGTGGCCATTGTTGTCCTCATTTTTATTTTTGTCTAGTTACATTTTTTTTCAATATATCTTAAGATAAGGGCTACCTATGTAGCCTTAGATGATCTTGAACTCATTTTAATCCTCCTGCCTCAGCGTTTGAATTGCTGAAATTACAGATATGAACATTCATGCCCAGATTCTTCTTGTATTTTAACCATGTAAGGTTCTTTTTTTATTTTGAAAAAAAAATACAGCATGCTTATAGACTTAGTATTTCTAATATTTTCTTTAAAAAAGCACTTTGACTTATACATCTATTACAATTTGCTGTCTTAAAATTATTAATTTTCCATTTGGAATTAATTCATTGTACCTAGTACTGGTCTACAGAAAGACAGTTTCTTACAGGTATACAATTTACACTGAATTATCACCCCATACTCCCTCTTGCCCTCTCCTTTTTCCTTCTGCTCCTCTCAGCAGTTCAATTTCCCCCTAGATAGCTTCATATCGACTTTATGTCATATATACAGATATAATTTTATGCATCTTTGTAAAAATCTAGGACACATATGTTTAAATAAGTATGTTCCCCGTAGGCTTATATATTTGAATATTTAATTACCAGGTTATGGCACTACTTGAAAGGACTTGGAGGATTAAGAGGTGTGGCCTTGTAGGAGGAAATGTGTCGCTGGGAGTGGGCTATGAAGCTTCAAAAGTCCATGTAAGCCCAGAGTCTCTCTCTGATTGTGCATCAGGATGCAGTCCTCAGCTTCTGCTCCAGCACCTGCCTACATGTTGCCATAATTCTTGCCAGGATGGTAATAGACTAAACCTCCACAACTGTAACAACGTCACCAGTTAAAATGCTTTCTCTTAAAGTAGCTGCCTTGGTCATGATGTCTCTTAGCAGTAATAGAACAGTGAATACGATACCACATGAGAAAAAAATATGATATTTGTCATTCTGAGATGACAATGAGTTTAATATGAGTGTCTTAAGCTATATCCAATTTCTTGCAAATAACATAACTCATTCTTGTCTGTAACTGAAAAAGCTCCACTGGCTCTACACACCACATTTTAGCTGTTACTTTGTTGACAGACACATAGCTTGGTTCTATTACTGAGCTATTTTGAACAGTTCTACAATAAACACTGATGTGCAAATATCTATGTGCTGCATTGAGTTGGAGTCTTTCAGATAAATATACAGGGGCATAGAGTGGGGTTATATGGTGGTTCTATTTTCAGGTTTTTGATTAACCTCATATTGATTTCATAGTGGCTGAATAAGTTTATGTTCCTACCAACAGTGTATGAGGGGTTAGCTTCTGTCTACATCCCTCCCATCATTTGCTATTTGTTTTCTTTATGAATGCCACTATGACGGGCGTGAGATGGCATCTTAAGGTATTGTTTGTTTGTATTTCTTCAATGGCTAAGAATAATAGGTTTACTGGCCATTTGTAATTCAACCTTTGAGAACCATTTCTTCTTTTCTTTAGCCCACTTATTAAATAGGTCATTTAATTTTTAGATCTTTTAGTGCTCTCTGTATATTCCAAATGATATAATTTTTACTTTAGTGAAACATGCATGTGAAGAGGCAATATCCACTGCATGCAGAGTTGATGGTGTCTTATAAGGAGAATCAAATACCAGTTTAATCAAGAGACCTCACAGCATAGAAACGCATCACTTTTGGAGTCATGAAGATTTACGTGTGGATCTTTTCTTATAAACTCTACAACAGTCAATAAAGTTCTTTTTTAACAACTTTAGGAGGTAGGTACTCTTTACAATGCCATTATTCACAGGGACCAGAAGACATAGGAAAGCTGCCAGCATCCCTAAGGACCCACAGCCAGTAAGAGGCAGAGACGTAGCCATCCAGATTTTCATAGCAGTATTAATGGGGCCAGCACCGATAAAATCTTTGCTTCATCCTAGATTGTCAGTTACCTATTTGGTGTATCATTAGAGCTGAAAAATGCTAGTTTTGAAATGTTAACTCATGACATATACCATTTATAAACATGTGATATAGGATGTCATACCTTTTAATTATTTAATTGATTCTTTGTACATATTATTATTTGTTCCTTATTCAGTAGAATAAAAAGTATATCTTAAACTAACATTTTCTACTTAATTTTCTTTACCAGCCATTTGCTCCAATTTTTAGCTCTAATTTAAATCCAATGTCTGTTCATTATTTGCTGCTATATGTTGCTTTGGGTAGTTGTTCTAAAAAATGTAAAACCAACCTATGCCAAACATTATGAGATAATGAGTCATTTTGAAATATATCTGATAAAAATATGTTTGGGACAAAAATAATGAAAGACATAAGTGTATGTGTATTTCAAGTACCATAGGTGGCCAAGATAAATTCTAAAATAATTTAGAGCATTTATAGGTAAAATTTAAAGGGAGACGTTCTGAAGTGGGCACAGCTGAGAACAAACAGCTCATGCCCTAGCCTATTAATTTCATCTTGCCTTAGAGAGCACACTGGTCAAGAGTGTGTGCTGGGGATGTAGTTTCTATTTATGACAACCCGAAGATGCTGCTGAATTCAGCTTTAGGGATTAAATCTGGACATAGAGTCAAGTCACAAGACAGATACATCATCACCACCAACATTGAGAGCAGTCGGAAGAAGAGAACAGGAATCAAGCAAAATAAGTAGAAATAAGATAAAGGGAGACAGACAAGATGCAAACAGAAAATGTTCAAATAGCAAGGGACAGAAAATGAGGTGGAAATATAAAGAAAGACAACACATTCTAAATGGAAAAGTCTCAGTCACATTTCATAAGCACAGATAATACTTATGCCATTTATTGGATACATTAAAAAGTTCACCGACATGCATATACATCACCTTTCCTGAGGATAAAAACATTGGCTTCAGTGAATATTTTCATATTTCATTCACTTGCCACTCTCAATGTGCATTTTCCAAGCATCTGTGGTGGTTCGACACTTAATATGATGAATACACTTCAAAAAATAATGTTGAGACTTTCCTAGCTTTCGTTTGTTCCACTATATATTCATGTGAAGTCATCTTAAACAGAATGAGTTTTAGCCTTTTATTCTAAGAGATATCGCTGCTAAAGGAATGCTATTTGTTCTTTTCCTCTTTAGATAGCCAAATGAACATGAGGGACAAAATTGGCAGAATTTGGGACAGCAATGTAAGGACTCAGCACTTTAGAAAATGTGTTGGTAAATGTGATATGGCTTCATGAATAAGTGGCAATTGAGTTTTATTTTTACTTCCTAATTGATGGCAGAAACATTTAGTATATATGTATATTATAATCATTAATATAGCAAGTAAATTTATAGGAGAAATCAATTATATTATTAAGTGTATATCCTGTCCCTTCAGTAATGCTTTCATGTATCACAGAAACATAATAATTCACCCAGAGAAAATGTTGCCATTTCTGTCGAAAACCCATGCTTAATATTATGTAAAAATTAATCCATGATGAATTACTTCAAGTATAGATTCCAGAATAGCTTATTTAAATGGCATCAGAAAAGAGCACCTCACCCGCAAAAAGGAGTCGAGGGATCCATTCTCCATATACTCTACCACGATCATTACTGGTCGGCCTGCAAGAGAGCAAGGAACACGCATTATTAGGGCAATCACAGAGAGATGTGCTGCAGGCAGGGATTTCCAGCTGCAGTAGCTAACGTATTTTTGTTTTTAAAAAGTGAAGCTCACTCTTCAACCTCTTCTATGAAAATATACTCATATATGCATCTTCATTTTTCCTCTATACCATTATTTGTTTTTGAGTTCACAAAGGGCCACGGATTGCCATCTGAGTGACAAAGGAATTAAACATGTTTTACAAATGTCTAGCGATTGCTTGTATAGATATGTGTGTGCGTGTGTGTGTGTTGTCCTTTAGTTTTCCCACAAATGACAACCAGGACACTAAAGTCATCACTTAAGCAGCCACCACCTCTGTTTCTGCAGTTGTGGCACAGCTTCCATGATATTGCAGCACATTTTCCCCCCTTAGAGTGGGTAGTTCTGAAATTACTAAATTATTTCTAAATCAAAGCAGAAAGGAGAAATTCATAAATCTTCATAGACTGCATTTAAGGGATTCCATGCAGAATAATTTTCAGTAGGTTGATGAATATCACATACTGGGTAGGATCTGTACGCATGCCTGTTCATCTCTTTATTGTGCACTGATTTGATCATCAGAGGGCCAATGGCAATGCATGAAAAAACTTGTAGTTTAGTGCAGAAGCAAAGATCAGAAGTTGAGCATCATTTATTTCTCCTTCTATCACACCAATTGCTACAGTTCCCAATACATCTCTATTATGCAGAATATTTGACATAAATAACTTCGATTTGTTTCAAAGAAGAGAATGTATTTGCTCTCTCCAATTGTACAGGCTTAAAAGATAAAATTTCAATTGAGTAAAAAAATGATATTTACCTGAAATAGGAATCTATCAATGCTTATTTTTCTTTCTTTATTCTTGATGATTCAATCTGAATGGCACATAGCTATTTTTATGACACACACAAAAAACTGTCTCTGCCAATGCCAATGATGAAAATGTTGGACTTGTAATTCAAACCTTCTTTTCCTGATCTCAAAGCCTTGCAGGTTAGAAAGGGTAGCCATAATAAATTGCTTCCATGTATGCAAATGCTAGATTTTACATTTGAATGTATATTTTAAAGAAAGATGAGCTAAAGGTTAAAAGGTGCAATAAAGCTCCCCCATTTATCATGCATAGAATTCAAACCTAAGGAATTTTCCCATTTGGAGAGAATATTAACTTATGCTCTATAATGCTCCTAAAAGTTATTAATCTTACCCATATGAACAAAGAACTAAATCGTCAATTCTAGAGGTGAGATGAACTGTCAGCACTCTCATACACAGGGGTCAAGAAGACCTGGTTTGCAGCCTGAAAACTGGTCACTCTGTCTTTTATTGGCTCCTTGGCTTCAGAGAGGCAGGAGATAGCAATCTAAGACCAACACTTAGGTAGGAAAAGTAGAGAAAATCAAAAGCTATCTTTGTAACTCAACACCAAATTCTGAGCAAATATTCAAGTTAGAATAGTAGTGGATTTTGAGTGCTTAGGAGGAATGCTGAGTCACTGAATTATGCGCCCTCTGTATTTTTTATACCTCTGTAATAGCTCCTGATCACTGACTGCTTCTACTCTTCAATAATATGAGTTTTGTTAGAATTCAAACACTTCCATGCATTGCTACACCCCTATTACACAGATAAAGAAACTGAGGGATAGAAAAGTAAAGTATGTTTCTTGAGCCTGCTGGCAGTATTAGGCATTCCATTTGATGCTTTGGATCCTTGAACATTTATAGTATAACTGCATCTCAGAAGAGATCAGTGGTCATATCTATAAGTCTAGTCTAGCTAACTGTTCTCTCCAGCAAAGGATGCTTTCCTAGTCAACTGTGCCACTTTGTTCTACCAGCTGTCATCATTTTCATTGTCCAATTCTGTCTCTGCCTTCCATTTTGCTATTCACCTGTCAGAGTTATTTCTCAGCTTGTTCCTCTTTGCAATACCTCCTCTTGTATTTAAACACCGTGTATCCTTGCTAGCCTTCACGCTGACATTTTCAATAGATCCCTATCACTGCTGTTGTGTATGCTATGTCATGCTGTGTTTGGCCTTTGTCTTGCTTTGTCTTTTTTTCTGTAGGAATTTGTAGTCTCATTCACTGGGTTTCTGGAGGTCACTTCCTACAGATAAGAGTGTGGTAGGTGCTTCATGAAATCACTTTCTGTTTTCTTACTGATTTCACTCTCCTTATGAAATTAGCACTGAATCTTTTCAGCAAGATTCCCGTCTGTGTGAATTCAAAGCACTTTGGGCATAGTTCTATCTATAACCCATTTGTAGTTACTTCTGGCAGTCTTAAAATCTATCAGCGACAAGTTTCACTTCTCATTTAGAATGATAAGGATGGAAATAGAAAACACTATCCTGAGTGAGGTAACCCAGACCCAAAAAGATGAATATGGGATGTACTCACTCATTATTGGTTTCTAGCCATAAACAAGGGTCACGGAGTCTACAATTGGTGATCCCAAAGAAGCTAAGTAAGAAGGTGAACCAAAGGAAAAGCATATAGTTGTCCTCTTGGCTATGGGAAGTAGACAAAATTGCCGGGGAGAAAATTGAGATCTTGGGGGTGGGGTGGGATGGGGGTAAGGGGAGATGGGGAGAGAAAAGGGAGAAGGGGAGAATGGGGGGAACTTGGGGAAACAGGAGGATTGGGATAAAGGAAGGTTGGATAGGGGAGCACGGAAGCACAATTCTTAGTTAAGGGAGCCACCTTAGGGTTGGCAAGAGACTTGAACCTAGAGTGGCTCCTAGATGCCCAAGCCGAGGTCCCCAGTTAGTTCCTTGGGCAGCTGAGGATAGGGAACCTGAAATGACCCTATCCTAGAGCAATAATGACGAATATCTTGCATATCATCATAGAACCTTCATCTGGTGATGGATGGAGACAGAGACAGAGACCCACACTGGAGCACTGGACTGAGCTCCCAAGGTCCCAATGAGGAGCAGAAGGAGGGAGAACATGAGCAAAGAAGTCAGGACCACGAGGCGTGCATCCACCCACTGAGACAGTGGAGCTGATCTATTGGGAGCTCACCAAGGCCAGCTGGACTGTGACTGAAAAAGCATGGGATAAAACTGGACTCTCTGAGCATGGCGAACAATGAGGGATGATGAGAACCCAAGGACAATGGCACGGGGTTTTGATCCTACTTAATGTGCTGGCTTTGTGGGAGCCTAGCCAGTTTGGATGTTCACCTTCCTAGAAATGGACGGAGGGGGGAGGACCTAGGACTTACCACAGGGCAGGGAACCCTGACTGCTCTTTGGACTGGAGAGGGAGGGGGAGAGGAGTGGGGGGAGGGGGAGAAGGGTGGGAGGAGGGGGAGAAGGGTCGGAGGAGGGGGAGGGAAATGGGAGGCTGGGAGGAGGAAACTTGTTTTTTTTCCCCCCTTTTCTCAATAAAAAGTTAAAAAAAAGAAAAAAAAAACAAAAAAAGTAGAATGATAAGGAATTAGATGACGACTCCCCCAGTTTCTTGTAAGTTAAAAGTTTCTTTTGAGCCGTTCTTTTGCATTTTATGCAAAACTCTCTATTGAGAGTGGCTGAACTAATGAATTGTGGGTTTTTTTTTCCAGACTACTGTCAGAATTTAATCTGTAATTTATTTTTTAATGGTTCTCTATAGGAAATATGTAGTTATAATGTGAAGGTTAAAGGCAAACTTGTAGTCCCTATTGCATTTGTGAAAAAAAATACATAGGAATAAGGGAACTTATAAAAATTCAGGTGCTATTCTCTATTTCCATTTTAGGTAAGTGAAGCTTTTTGGTACACATTCATTTTTTGACTCGGTTTTTCAATATGCACAATTACATATGTAAATCATATGTATATATTCTAAGAATGTGACTGCTCTTAGAGGATATACTTGAAAATAATCAATTCTTTTTTTTCTAAATTTTCAAAAATATCTGAGCTCCTTTCCTTTAGTAAATTTTAGTCTGTTGCCCCAAATGCCTCCCACCACAGCATCATCTTAGTGATTGAACTGTGCTAAAAACAATGAGCATGCCCCAAGATGCTTTAACCTCAGTCATTTTTCAAGATCATCACTTAATTTAAAGAAAGTTCATTGGTTTGATGTTAAATCTCCCAAGCTATCCCATGTTATTGGTTTCAAGATTGCAAAATTATAAATAGCCAGATGTTATTATGAATAGTCTTAACTATGTAAGAATCAAAATCTGAGAAATCACTTACTTATATTCTGAAGAAAATCACAAAATTCCTTTTTATCCTTTTCTACTACAGACAACAATAACTATTTTCTTTCAGCTGGCATTTTAGGAAGCATGTGTGTATATGTATAATATATATATATATATGTGCATAAATATATGTATATGTTTTATTATTTATGTTCAAATACTCTCAACACCTGTAATGACTTCCTTAAAGGAGGCTTGCAGAATCCATATGATTATAAGACTTTATTCTTCTCATGATGGTATTAGAAAAATGAAAACAAAGACATTCTTTGACTTTCTTAAAAAAACCTCAGAGAAATACTTTGTTGGTGAAACAGGTTTTCTTCTGAGAAGGTTTGTGAAAGATGAGGATTACAGAGATTTGCCATTTTTATATAAGTAATGAGTCTGTGATGGATGTGGCGTTTTGAATCAGTTCAGCAATTTCTAATGTGCAGCCAGTAAAATGAAGAATCGAAACAAATCTCAACAACCTCAGAACTCTATTACAGATTTAAATCATTCTAGCTTACTTAACATTCAATCATGTCTATATTTTGTCTACCAGGTTGTAAACTTGCAGCAGTAACTCGGATTGACAAAATGCCAGTATTCTTTCTACCCACTTGCAATTCACTACTTCTAAACCCAGTTATTTCATCTATTCTTCTTCACTGCCTGTTTTATAGATAGGGAATTGCAGTTATAATCTCCTCTGGGTTTGATGACAAATGAAATAATTTTCTTATCCATGCAATACTTTCCACAGATATAGGTAATATAA